TGTTTTAGTTCCGGAGACTCTTCCTACCCGGGAATGCTCCGGTTTTAGTGAGACAGGGCAGAGGAACTACGTTAAAGATATCTCAGTGCCTTGGAGAGATTCACACGTTCCTCCTTTTATTCTTCAGCGGTTGGATCATCTGGCTGAAGGGATTTGCTGTTCTGTGCCTCCCCCTCCCTGATGAGCTCTGGAACACTTCAGTGCCCCCATCAGTGAATCTGCCACGTGCAGCTGGAATGGAGTTGGAGTTGGTCTGGTGTTGCTGCCACTTTTCTGCTATAGTGGGGATTCTAGTGGGAATTTAACGATTCTGTCACTCCTGAGCTATCTCGGAGAGGTTTGCTGAAAAGTTATGCCTGCTGATTAAAAAAAAAAAAAAAAATGCAAGCTGCTGCAACGCTGACCAGTGATGAGCAAATAGGCTTTGGTGTGGTAGTGTCCTTCAGCAGGTAAACCCAGAGGAACTCCTCTCGGGGGGGAAGGCGGCTCTGAACTCGGGGGTAGGTCTCCGGGTCTCTACCCTCGTAGATCACTTGGCGTCACGAAACGGCAACCCCGTAACCCGTTAGGAGAGCGTTCCTGCCGGGGCTCCCGGGGCGTCCTGCCCCGGTTTGGGGTAGATGCCCCGTGGTGAGGTGAGCTGCCCTCTGGCCCTTCCCGCTCCCAGCTCGCCGGGCACCGGGGTGACCACACGTGTCCCCCCTGGCAGGTTGCTGGAGAATCGCTTCTCACAAAGGGCTGTCCACACTCATTTCCACTCCCCAACTTCCAAAGAAATGTGCAGAGGCTTGTGCGTCACCGAACCTTCCCTGACCTCAGCGTGGTCCTCCTAAATGTTTTTATAGAGTGCTGCTTCCTCCCACCCGTGCCCCAGCAATAAAGCTGCTTCCAATGAAACCTTGAAGAGGGTCTCCAGGAACCAGCTGTCAGGACATGTGCAGATAGTGACCTTTTGTCATCTTGGAACTCGCTGAATTTACAAGAAGGAGACACAGAGATAATACATTAGTTATGAAGACCAGAAAGTGAAAACAAGAATTATTTCAGAAAAAAAAAAAAATCTACATTGCTCTAAGTGGTTAGAGGAACTGATCCAAACTGTTGCTTGGGAAGAGGAAAACCTATCATGAACACTCCTTGCCGATTTTGGGAAGCAAATGACACATGAGTTACAGATCACGAAGGAAGTAGATAGTAATCTCTGCTCAGTGCCCCTGCCTTGCAGTACTATGACTATACCTGGAATATTGTCTTCAGTCCTAGTGGTGTGTCATTGAAAAAACTTCCAGTTGCTTTTCCCCACGTAAAGCTGAATAGACTCAGGAAAGAGACCAAAAATAACAAAACAACTGCTCAGAAAAGAAATGAACCGCGTCTTTGGTGAGGTGGCTAGTGACAGTGAGCGAGGAATTTCTTTGCTTTTCAGATTTTTCTCTGAATATTAGTGAGAAACCTGATTTTGCAAGAGTAGTGTTGAAAAGCAGTGCTGCTGGATACCCTGAAGCTCCCAGAAGTGTGAAATGATGCCCTGTGTGGGGAAGTGAGATCAGCCCCATGAGAATATGATGCTGGATTCATTTTCTAAGCTACCTCCGCAGGCCAGGAAGTCAGTAGTGAGTCAAACTGTTGCTTTCTGGTGACCCCATAAACCCATTCTGGGAGGCTCAAGAGGCAAGTAAAACAACAGGCAGAAGAAGATTAATCAAAGGTGGTTGTTCTACCAGATTCTTAACTCCCTAAAAGGTCAGGGTTGCCTGGGGAAGCCCTTTCTGTCCCACTGACGTGGCATTTCACTCTCTAAATAGTAATCTGATAAATTGTTGTCCTCGTTAAATTCAGAACAAAATGAATTGATGACACTACATTGCGGTACGGTGAGGAGCTGCCCACTGAGAGTTTCCTGCCATCCTGCGGCCGTTGCTGTGAGGAGGACACGGGGGCTGCCAGGAGGTGCCACCCAGGACGTGCCACTTGCCTTCGCTTCACACATCTCGCAGGTTCCTCCGTCCCTGAAGAGGTGTAAGCAGGTGCTCTTTGGTGGTTTTCTTTCAACTGAAGCAGAATACAGAGGAAGAAAGAGAAGAAATTAAGCTGTTCAGATAAACTCTTTTGAGTAATCCTTTTACAAACGTTGCAGTATGACAGTTTGTCACTTCAACCTACTCATGAGTTTGCAAAAGGCTTGATGACCTGATTTCTGGTTGCAGCTTCTTGGAAAAGTCTAGATGTGTCAGCAGCGGGGCTGATAACAGGCTAAAGAACCGTGTGAAATCCAAGGTAGGAAAACTGAGATCAGGTTTCTGCCTACCAGAAAAGGAAACGCGCTGCTGTTGCACTAAGGCTGCTGTGAAGTGCTGCGCTGCCCTCGGCGGGCTGAGCCTCGGACTGCAGAGATCTCGCTCAAACTCCAGCTGGGGCAGCTGCAGTGGGGCTTTGGGCTTGACTCAGAGTGGTGACGAGTTTCAGCAAAAGAAATATCCCCCGGAGGATGTGCCTCAGGCCTAGGGGAGTGCTGGGAGGTTAATAGATGCATTTAATTACCGAGATGATGCATACTGATGAAGCAAAGCCCCTGTAGCCCTTTGGCTCAGGTATTATGTCAAAAGGTATTACAAGTCATCAGGATTACTTCAGGGAGCTACAAGTGACTCAGAGAAGACAGCAGTAGAATGAAAATCTATTTGAGAGCCTGTGAAGACCAGCCCATTGCCTGCTCGGTGCAGAGTGCAGATAAACACAGCCCAGGCCCCGCGGTCGGACAGAAATATTGAGCCCCTTTGACTCCAGTTAGAGCCAGAGATTTCCCTTTAACCGTGGTGGGTAGAAACTGGTCTTACTGGAAGGAGCTTCTGACTATCGGGGTTGACTCCTTCTGGGTAGCAGAAAACTGGGTTTGATTTTCTTTGTTGGTAAATTGTGTGTTTAGATCTTGTAGGTTTGATCTGTAACAGCGTTAAGAATGAAGTCCAGGAGATTCACCGTCGGCAAATCCGGTGGCTGACAGCTGGAGGCGAGAGGCTCGTTCTGGTGTTGCAGAAGGCAAAGGCTCAAATGTTAATTCTCTGTAATGACATGGAAAATCATTTGGGTGCTGGCTCCTGAGGAAAAAAACCTCCACGTCCTCTCGCCACCTCACTGTGTCTCCTTCACGTTTCCAGAGATTTTGCATTTGCCTTGTGAGTGCCTGAGCTGGTTGTGACTGTTCACAAATGCCTGTCCAGAGTCTCTTTGAGATGGACACTGCCTCCTCCTCCTCCTCCTCGGGGAATGCTGGAGGATGAGGGGAGGCTGTTAGGGAATGAACTCTCCGATCCCCCTTCCCTAACCAGAAGTTGCCCAGCACACTTTCCTCTTCAGGACAGCTTCTAGATAGTGTCTGGGTATGAACAAGGTGTTTGAGCCTGGGCTGTGCATGGGAGGTAATATTAGTGTAATAGGTGTGACTATACATGGAGGAAACGTGTGTGAAAAGAGCAGTTGGGAACGCCGAGTGTTGAGAGATGAGGACAGGAGGAAGTCAGTTCTCACAAAGGAGAAAGATGCTGCTCCATAGCTTCAGACCCGCAGCTCGGCCGTATGTGTAACAACTCCAAAACCGCCGCCCGTTGTGGTGTTGGGCCTCCCAACACAAACCAGAGTACAAAATCTTACAGACTCAATTTTTCTGTGATTCTCTATCTGATACTCATAGCTGCTCGTTGGCCTGAGCTACCCAGTGGAGCAGAGGATGGAGGTGGGGATGGGAGATGCTTGAGAGAAATACAAACTGTGACAGCTGCCGGAGAAACCCGGTGCAAGGATGCTGGGCTGGCTTATAGAAACTGGTCCATATTCCTCGTGGAGAGCCGTGTTCCCGAGTGGAATTGTTTTCCTGCAGCTCAATGGTGGGATGTTTGCTGGGAGCCCGGGGCAGGCGAGGGTTCCGAGCGCTGCTGTTTGCAGAGGCAGCAGCTGGTGTCCTCTCCAGCGGAGAGCTCCAGGGCAGACAGCAGAGCCTGACCTGCGAGCAGCGCGGCTAAACACAGCTCTTCCACAGAAAATGACTCACGGGGGGGACATTTTAGACCCTTCAGCGTCTCCGCGTGGCGATGCTTGAGAACTTGCACGTGTTAAGCAGGTGTTTATGGCCTGGCTGCTCTTTTCAGACTGGCCTCAAGTGCTTTTGTTCTGAGCCTTCGCTGGCTGACGCTGGTTATCCCCGTGAGAGACGGTACGGGTGGTGCTGCTCTACTGGTTCAAAACCTGCCAGCTGGTTTTGTTGCTAGTGGCAGGCCTGCTGTTCACTGGGCCAAGCGGGGGGCTGGGGGACGGGGGGGGGGGGGTCCCCAGAGCCGCGGGCTGTGCCGCCCCGAGGGGTCGGTGAGCCAGGAGCCGGGTTGCAGCCCAGCTCACAGATCGCAGCACACGCTCCTGCCCTTTTCACGGACGAAGATGGCAAAGCGTGACATTAACGGGGTGCAGCACAAAACCCTTCAGATTTCCCAGCTGAGTGCTCCGTGCGCTGAGACGTGATTTGTATGCAGGTGTGTTCTCTTCTCTTCCTTTGATCGGAAAGTTTAAAAAGAAGAAGAAAGCTAAATTTTTTTTTTTTTTTTTTTTTTTTTTTCTCAGCTAGCTATTTGGAATCCGTTGCAGCTTTCCCCCTTTCCTCTGCCTTGTGGCACCGTTCCTGACAGGAGGGATGGTGTCTGGGAGGAAATGAAATGGCAGGTTTTTGGGTACAGCTGCTTTCTTCATGGGCTTGGTAAGGAGCTCTCCTGCTTTTAAACTCTTTTTTAAATCCTGTGCCTTTTCTCCTTTCCCCTGGGCTTGCAGCATGGGGGGGACCAGAGCAGGTAGAGCTGGAGCAGAGGGACATCGCGCTCTCCAGCATGTGCCTGCCCAGCACATAAATCACTTTACAGAGGTGCCCTGGGATTTTCTTGCCTTCAGAGGGAATCTGGCAGCAGAAGGACAGCGCAGAGCCAGCAGGCATGGCACCGTGCCTGTAAGGCTAAATTCATCTTCCACTGAAATCCCTAAGGTCCAAGACTTTTGACAAAGTGTCACCTGGAAGACAGTTAAATGCCGACCTCCTCCACCGCTGGATTTTGTTATCCCACAAAAGGTAACTCGAAGCGTTTTAGCATTACAGCTGGAGTTAGTGTCACCCTCAGTGCTCCTGAAAGGACAAAGTTAAAGCTCTGAGCCGGCTGCAGGGGCGCGTTGCCTAACCGCTACAGATCGGGGCTGTTTTAACAGCGGGGGGGGGGGGGGGGGGGGGGGGGGGGGGGGGGGGGGGGCTCGCCTTGGGCAGAGTGGGGGGTTCCTCGTGTCCTTGGCTGGGACAACCCCCCCGCGCCGTTCTACTGCTCACAGCCCTGGCGAGAAACGGCTTATCTGGGCTGTAGTCTGGGGGCAAACTGTGCCCCCAGAGGTAAACGCTGTTACTGGGAAGTTATTTAGCGTTTGCAGCCGAGGAACACAACGTTCTCAGGGGCATTTCCCTGCCTTTCCCCAGCCAAAAAAAAAATTAAAAACACCTCAACATACCACTGTAAAACTTGTAGCGCATTCCACCTGCCCCCTCCGTGCAGGTGAAAAAAATAAAATAAAAACAAAAGTATGCCCTCTCTTATCCCGAGAGCTCCACTTCTCGTGTTCAAAAGCAGAAAGGGGAGCGGGAGCGGCGAGCTCCGGGCTGCGGGGCTGGACGGGCCCGGGAGCCGGGGAGGGGGTGAGGGGCCGGGCGGGCCGGGATCCCGCCGGCCGCTTGCGCAAGAGGGGTCTTTCCCACGGGCTGGGGCTATAAAGGTGCTGCCCGCCGCGGGGTGAGGCGCGGAGAGGAGCGGGGGTGCGGGGAGAGAAGCCGGGGAGGAGCCGAGCCCGGGGTATGTGGAGGGATGAGATGGGGAGGGATGGGGGGCAGCCGAATCCCGAGGGATGGGGAGGGAGGGCAGCCAGTCCGGTGGAACGGGGAGGGCTGGGGAGGAATGGGGAGGGAGGGCAGCCGGTCCCGGGAATGAGAAGGGATGGGGAGGGAAGTCTCGGCTGCTTTCCCCATCACCTCGCCCCTTTCCGCTCCCTCTTGGATGCAGCCGCTGCTCTGGGTCCCGCCTGCTCCCGGGATTTTCCCCCCTCGTGTCGGGAGCGGGGTCTGCTGCTGCCCCCGGGCTGCCGAGAGCCGGCAGCTCCCTTGGAGGAAGGGCTGACTGAAAAGCTTACGAGGAAACAGCCTTTCCTAAGAGTCCTTACCTGCCCCTCTCTCTCTCTTTCTGCTTTAAAAGCTGGACGGCTGGATCGGCACCGCTGCTGCAGAGAGGAACCCCAGCCCCGGAGGAACCCCAGCCCCGGAGGACCCCGCTCTGTCTCCCCAGGGTTCTGATCGCGGCGCTGGAAGCCCTCGGTGCTATGCTACCCTGCCACGTGCCGAACCGAAGGCATCCATCCAAGGTAACGTATCATCTGCTCTTAAGGCTGGGCACACGTGCTTTGAAAAGGAAAGGGAGGATAAAAAAAGACTCTGGGATTCTCCAGTCCTGTGCTGAGTATCTGGGTTTCCAAAAAAGTGTAAGAGTTCTTATGGAGCACGCTATGTATTTGCTAGTTTGGGAAACTTCCCTTCTGCTTCTTGATCTGCAAAGGTCTCGCCCCAAACGGTGAGGAACTCAGAGGGGGTGAAAAGAGGAGGTGAATGTGCTGGAGCTGCTTTTAGTACCAAAAGGGGGAAATGGGTTTGTGAAGCATCATTTGGGGAAGGATGCCTTGTCACCCGGGATGGCAAGCGGAGGGCGAAGGGGAGGAAAGTGCGGGACAGCCGCTGGTCCCCGGGGCTGGGGAATGTGTGAGGTGGGAGAATAATTTCTTGCATCTACAAGGTTAACGAATTCGGTGACGCAGCAGCCGCGTTCGCTGCTTCTGCAAGGGGACGAGCTAAGGGCCCCTTGCCCTGTCTTTGCTGTAGTGGATGTTTGTCCCTCTCCTCCTTCTCCTGGCTGAGCTCGGCTGCAGCGCCCAACCCACTTACCCGTGGAAAGATGCGGTGACGAACAGAAAGCTCACGTGCCAGCAGTGCCCGCCGGGGACCTTCGTGGCACAGCACTGCACCAGGGACAGACAGACAGTGTGCAAACCCTGCCCGGATTTGCACTACACACAGTACTGGAACTACCTGGAGAAGTGCCGGTACTGTAACGTCATCTGCGAGGAGAAGCAGGTGGAGGTGCAGCAGTGCAATTCCACCCACAACCGCGTCTGTCAGTGCCAGGAGGGCTACTACTCCGAGATGGAATTCTGCATCAGGCACTCCGAGTGCCCGCCGGGCTTCGGCGTGGAGAAGCTGGGTAAGTGCCCCAGCCGGGCGGCTGCGGCAGCGCTGTGCATGCTTTTGAGGTTCTTGTCACATCCCAAAATCTCTGCTGGAGTTAAAAATCAAGGACGGAGCTAAAAATCAAGTGGCTGATATTTGCCCACAGCCTGACCGACTCCCTTTCTGCTCACCAGCGCGGTGCCGTCCTTGCTAGCGTGTGAAACCGCTCCTGGCTTCATTTTCACAGAGTGATTTCTTTGGTTTTTCCCCTGCTTTTTCTTTGAAAGCCCTTGAAATCCCCCAGCACCAAGCTCAGCTGGGACCTGGCAACCCCGATTACCAGCTTCACCTGCCGCAACAGGCAGAGCTGGGCTGTGATTCACCCGTCCCCGGAGCAGCAGCTCGTCCTGCCGGGGCTCTTGGCAGGTGGAAAGGTCTGAGCAGCTCCTGCTCCTCTGTCAGCTCCCTTCTCCGCGCAGGCAGGGAGCCAAGGAGCTGATTATCTGGCCTGAAAAGGGCTGCTACTGGGGCAAGGGTAGGGCTGGTGAATGTGTGTAGCTCTGGGGCTGGGTTTTGTGGTTTTTATTGAGCAATTTGGAGGCCGTATTCAAAACATGAAATGGATACATGGACAGGTTCCAAAACCAAAAAATCAGCCTTGTTTCGATTCACGTCTGGGGGAGATCCACGGGTCCGAGACTCCGTCCCCTGGCGAGATGCAAGTCATGAGAGATTTTAGGGGGTTTATTTTTCTGTTGTTTCCCCGCACAAATTTGCCCGGTCCCTTAGTTCCCCCTGTTTCTATGTGTGAAAACTTTCTAAAAATACAAGTTGCCTAGAAGCGAGTTTTCCTCTCACTCTCCCCTGACTCACCGAGGACTGGGCTCTGTCTGGAAACCACAGTTGGGTATAATAAATCAGCGTGGGCAGCATCAGCAAAACCAGCATTATCTTGCTTCATGCTTTGAAGTGTGGAGGCTTTTGAAGTCCTTCCATGCACAGCACGGAAGAGCTCCAGGCTCGCAGGCCAGAGGAGAAATACCTGTTATCTTCAGCTGATGCCTATGGTTGAGGTTCGAGGGTTTAATTATTCTATAGGACTTGGCTGTTACAAAACGCAATAATGCAGCAAAAGGTGAAGTAGGTCCCCAAGCAATGCGGGGAAGCCCTTTGAAATTAAACATCAAATTTGGCCGGAGCGTTGGCTGTGGGACTGAGGAGCCACGCGAGCAAGTTGGGGCGTTTCAGGAGAAGCTAATTTTTGGCGGTTATTATTATTTAATTTTTACAAATGGCTTCTTGTGTGGAGAATGCTGACACCCCCAGCCCTGGGGCAAGGACGGAGCATCCAGCGTGGGTGGGCAGAGCCCCGGAGCTGTGTCTGGAGGGGGGACCCTGAGGACCCTGTGAGCAGGGGGCTGCGGGCAGACCTCGCTGGCTCTCGGGTTGGATGGGTGCTTTGATCCGTGGGCAGTTCCTCTGGGGCTTATTTTGGATTTCCCATGTGCAAGTCGGAACAGTCATTGGAGTCATCGGCTGGGCTGGCTAGGACTTTGGGTAAAGCCAAAGCAGTGGCCTGAAGCGGGTTGCAACAAGGTAAAAGCCTTGTTTTTAACTAGATATATGAAGAGGAGATGAAAAGGGACCTGAAATTTGCTGCTGTCAGGGCCGTGCCCTCTTCTCCCAAGGAATGTGCAAAGCACCCTGGTGCAATCTCGCTCCCGTGGCACCGTCCCTGCGACAGCGGCGGGTCTGGCCCGGAGCCTGGGTGGGAAGCTGCCGCCTCGCAGAGGCGAGCAGGGCTTTCACCTTCTCAGCAACTTTTACTTTCACTTGGCCAGGAGCCTCCTGATGCTGCCGCGAATCAAAGGGGCTGGTTTGTCACCCAGCTCACCCCTCGTCCCCGCCGGCGTCTCCTACCCAGGAGGTGGCCCTTCTCGGTAGCGGATGATCTCTCTTATGTCTAGAGGCTGGTGACAATTTCTCGGCACGTGCCAAACCCTTTTGGCCTGGGGGGTGACTGGGGAAAGCGTTGCTGTTTGCCCCGCAAGGGGACACACGCTTCCCAGGGGAGTTGCAGGCGATGATGGGTTCCAAAATGTCACCCTCGTGCTCGAATAGTGTCTGGCATTCTTTGCTCTGCTGGCAAATCGTCCCCAGCTCCTGCCCTCTGCTCCCTTGCTAGCTCACCACCCCAGGGTAATGGGGTGGGGGGGTGTGTCCCCCATTTTTTCCCCCCTGCACACAGGTACCCCCTTCGAGAACACCCAGTGCGGCGCCTGCCCCCGCGGCTTCTTCTCTTCCTCCAACTCCAGCACCAAGCCCTGCCAGCCGCACCAGGACTGCGAGCAGCAGGGGAAGGTGACCAACGTGCAGGGCAACCAGTACCACGACACCCTCTGCACCTCCTGCAAACTGGGGAGAAGCAACGGCACGCAGGGGCCAGGTGAGCTGCGATTCTGGGCGGGGATGGCGGGACCACGATGCCGGCAGGCTGAGAGCGAGCTTTCTGGAGACCATGTAGGTGCAAAATGAGGTGAAGGAGCTTGTCAAAATATGGAGTGATCCATAATTAATAGTGATGATGGATGTAATATAGATTGTCGGCCTTCCTCCCCCCTCCAGGGTCGGTCCTGTAGGGTAAGGGCAGGGTGCAGGGCTTAAGCAACAGCTGCATGCAGGCTCCTTGCTGAGCGAGAACAAAGAGCTGGCAGTGAAATCCTGCTGGTTCTTACCAGAGACTGGGATAACTGGGGGTGCCGGGGCACGGGGACGGTTTTGGCAGCTGGCGGTGACGCGAAGGGACGCGGTGCGAAGGGCTGAGCCTCCCCGGGCTCGCAGCCTGTCCTCCGGGAAGCTTCTGCGGCGGCCACGACCTTGGCACGTGCAGGTTGAATGGAGCAGGGCCCGAGGTTCGTCGGAGCCGGGCGCAGGGTGGATTTTGACCCGTTGGGTGAAAAAGTGGAGATGCGGTGCCAACTGTGTCAACAGTGCAAACGTAGCGCGGAGCCTCGGCGGAGGCTGGAGGCTGGGGGGGAGCTGCCGGCAGGCACAGATCTTTGGGGTCGTGGAACACCTGGTTGGAAGGGACCTCGAGGACCATCTGGCCCAACGTTTCTTGGCAAAAACAGAGGGCGAAGGAGCGGGGGAGAGCGATGGGCTGGCTCTGGGGGCGCTTGGTAACGTGCACCCCAGCGAGTTAGGGGATGAGAAAGGGACTGAAAACCATCCCAAGGGCCTGATGTCAGCTGAAGTGGGGCCGGCAGCTCTTCCGAACCACCCGCTGTACCCTGAGCATCCAGCCAAGCTGCACGGGAGACAAATTCAATGTGGCTGATCTGGGTGGCAGTGAACCCGCACCCTTGAACTACCTCCAAAAAAATCAGTTATAGAGCCATAGAGCAGCCCGGGCTGGAAGGGACTTTGAAAGTTCATCTAATCCAACCTTTTATGGGAAAGGGAGCCTGGATGAGATTATCCAGCACCATGTCCTGAAACCCTCCAGCAATGGGGACTCCACTGCGTCGCTGGGGAAGCTGTTCCAGTACAAAAAAATGAAGCTTGATCGAAGAGCTTCAAAAAAAGCTTCTCCTCCTTGGTGATGGAGCAAGGAGGCTGTTCCCCCCCGCCAGCAGCGGGCGAGAGGAGCCCTTGCCTTTCCATCCTCTCCTGGCACTGCCAACGCAGGGCATTTCTGCTTGTGAAACCTGACTCACACCACGAGCTCCATGCCAGGAGAGGAGATGCAAAGCTCTGTCATCAGCGGGACGCGGTCCCGGGGCGGGGGGGTGGTCAGGTGAGAGCAGCATCAGCAGCACGTGCGCTGCCGCTCGTTAGGAAACGGCCCCCGCGGCCAGCCCGGCCTTTCAGCTATTTATAGAGCGAGAGAGGCCCGTGAGCAGTGGGAGCCGAGGAGTATTTTTAACTCCGGTTCATCGTGATTTCACTCGGGAGACCTGCAGGCACTTGCCTTCCTGCTGCAGCGGCAATAGCCGGAGCAATTCAATCTAAAACCTCGGTTTGCAGGAGAGGCAGAGTCTGGACAAGGGAGCCCGACCCGCCTGGCTCTAACCAGTGAAACCATTCCCAGTTTACACTGGCACAAAACTAGGCCAGTATCTCCTTGTTTGAGTAATTGTTTGGCCTTGGCCTCTTGAAAATTCTTTGCGATTTCATTCCATTACGCTGGACGCACTCCAGCAGCGCTGTAGCCAGCTGGGATCAGGTCTGGCCAAAAGCTCCAATCTGGGCTGCACCTGGGGCTGGTCCTGTCCTGAGACATAAAAATCTGCGTGGGGAAATAGAAACCATCAGGAAAAATTGCATGTGTAAGTACTTATTGCAATAACTTCAGGTTTTTCTGGAGTTTCCCTCTTCCTCTACTCCCTGGCAGGGAGAAATATGGAAAAGGTATATTTACTTTTTTCAGAATTACAGGAACTATTACATGTTGTTTTCTAACTGCCCCGCATAGGATGGGCTGCTGCTGGGAAATCCAGCCTGCGGTGAGGGCTGGGCCCAGCCGTCGAGGGCAGTTAGCTGGCCGAGATGGGCTTTGGCCAGTTAACGATCCCAGATTTAGTGCTTTCCTCCTCCTTCTTCCTTCCAGCCTCACTTTTTCCACCCGCAAAATGGTAGTTTCTGACCTGCTTGTTCCACCACCCACCCGTGGGCAGGGCGAGCCGGCTGCCCTCCCGCTTCCCCCCTGACTGGGACGGAGGATGAGCCGGCGGCTGCCTCCCCCTCGGGTGGGGACTCGCCCTCTGCCCGCCCGCCCGCGTGCGTGGCCGCTCCCCAGCTCGTGGTCCTGGAGGCACATGGCCCCTGTGAGCCAAAAGACCCTCCCGAACGTGGAAGGGGGGTTGCGAGAGGCAGGTTGCCCGGCAGGGCTCACTGGGCTGGGACCCCTGGTCCAAGCTGCGGCCGGCGAGCGGTGCCCCGGCGAGGGCAACGGCATGGGATCACAGCGCGGGTTGGGTTGGAAGAGACCTTTAAAGGTTGGCTGGTCCGATGAGCAGCGACACCTTCCACTAGATCAGGTTGCTCAGAGCCTCGTCCAACCTGACCTTGAACGCTTCCAGGGACGGGGCATCCACCCCCTCGCTGGGCAGATGTCCCCTGGAAGAGGCTCTGGAGTAGCTGTGACTTTCTCTCCTGGTGCCCCGTGGTCACCTTCCCTCTAACCCCCGGGCAATTTTCTCCCACCAGCCCTAGGAGACGACGACTGTGAGCAAGCCATGATAGACTTTGTGGCGTACCAGAACATCCCCGTCAGAAAGCTGAAGCGCCTGCAGCAAATTCTGGAGCGCTCGCCGAGGAAGCAGGCGCCGGGGACCAGGGCGGTCATCCAGGAGAAGTTCAGGACTTTCCTCACCCACCTCAAGGAGGGGCACTACGAGGTCACCAAGGAGCTGCTGGACGCGCTGCGAGCCGCCAAGCTTCATTCCATCGAGGAGAAGGTCCGCGAGCGCTTCCTCCTCCACTGAGAACACAGACTGAACTTTCCGGGTGGTTTTTGGTTTGATTTTTTTTTTTATTTTATTTTTTTTTATTTTTTTCCTCCTGTGGCTTCATTAATTTATTCATCTTTCCAAACCTAACTTGAAACGCAGCGTTAGAGATGAGCGCTGGGTCGGAGTTAAGCCGTGCCTGGGTCCCGCTCTGCGGGCGGGCGGATCGCTGCCTCGGGGTGGGATGCTCTGAGCACCAGCGTCCCAGCGCCAGCGGCTGGTGCAGCTCCTGGGAGCTCCCTGGCTGCTGGCCCCTGGTTTTTCCAGCACTCAACAAGGTTTAATATTTTATCAGAAGAGAAACATGCGGCCAGGGTCAGTTTTTTCAGGGGAAGAACCCAGCTCCTCCTCTTTAGAAAACTGTCTGGCTTTGTTTACAACTGTGCAGGTTTGGGGTTTGTGGGGTTTTTTTTAGTTATTTAACAGTACTTCCCACAGAGGATTCACTTGCATTTGATCACCATGCTTTGTTTTGAGAAGGGAGTTTACTGTTGAGACACACTTTGGGTGTAGGATGTCTCTGAAGTCACTGGTACAGCCAGCTTTAAATTTATTTCTAAACTACCTGGTTTTATACCATGTGTGAGGGATGTTTTCTAAAAAAAAAAAAAAAAAAGAAAGGAACCAAAGTTATTTTATTATACGATTCTCTGTCACCAGAGTCCTTTCCTAGTCTCATTTGGAGGAGAGAGGCGGTGTTGCAGGTCCCTGACCATCATCTTCCGCCTCCGTTAACCCTTGCCTGCTTTTTGCACATCCTCCACCCCCCCCCCCCCCCCTCCATCACACACCACCAGCCGCCCACGCGACACAGGAGCCCACGGAATCCAGCCTCCGTGGGCCACGGCAAGGCTCTGCCTGTGAGCGGGACGCAGCCCGGCTCTGCCGGGATTTGCTGCCGCTGCGGGTCAGGGGGGAGCTCCCACCTTTTGGGACGACCCAACTGTGTCACCCCGAGCCCCAGGTCTGTCCCCAGGACGCTGTGGCGTGAGAAGAGGCGTTTAGTCAGCCAAGAGCTGTGCCTCGGGGCGCTTGTGCTGACTGCGGGCTCGGGTTTTTTTAAGCCTTGCGGATACCACTTAGGGAAGTCAACAAGGGGTGACCCTCTCAGGCATTTTCCAGTCTGTAGCAACGATGACACAGACCCTACATCTTCTGCTATGAATAGGTTTGACTTTTTTTATAGCCCTTTTTTAGCTGAGTAGTTGCCAGGAATACTTTGTGGTTCAAAAGAGGAATATTTCCCCCCCCCGCCAGCTAGGAGCTGTTAAAAGCACTCTGAAACATGTGCTATGTGGAACTGCCCCCACACTTCCCCCACGCGAAGAAGGCTGACATAAGCAAATACAAAAGGGGATTTTAACCTCCCCCTGCTGCCCACAGACACGTCCTGGGCTCTTCTTGCTGCAGTGACAAGTTGTCCATCCCCAGCAGGCTGGATGGACGGGACTGATCCCGGGAGCCGTGCTTGCCTTCTCGCTGCTCCAGAGCCCCGACACCCGTGGATGTCTGTTCGCGCTGCAGACCTGCAGCTGGGGACCCCAGACCTGCAATTGGGGACCCCAGACCTGCAGCTGGGCACCCCAGACCTGCAACTGGGGACCCCAGACCTGCAACTGGGGACCCCAGACCTGCAGCTGGGCACCCCAGACCTGCAACTGGGGACCCCAGACCTGCAGCTGGGCACCCCAGACCTGCAGCTGGGGACCCCAGACCTGCAACTGGGGACCCCAGGCTTGCAGCCATCTCACCCTGGGTTTGGGCTCTGGGGCTGAAGCAGTGCAGTGGTCCTGACAACGCCCCGGGTCAGTTCAGGCAGGGACAAAGAGAAGCAAAAGGCTGAAAAGCAGCCGAGGGGACCCCTCGCCCACACCTTGTGCTGAGCCAAGGACTGATCCTGGCAATCCCCTCGCAGCTTTGTCAAGCCTTGGCCTTGAAATCCTCCAGAGGAGGGACCAAAACTCCCCTTTCCAGCACTCAGTTACCACCACGTCTGATCTCTGCCCTCTGAGCTGCTTTATTCCAGTGGGCTGCAGCTCAGTCCCCAGGTGTGACGCACTCCGAGTCCCTTGGCAGCAGCGACGTGCCGATGGCACGCTCCAGGAGCAGCTGGGGCAGGAGGTGAGGAGGGTTTCCATCAGAGCACTGTGAGGAAGGAAGTACCGTGTGCTTCTCTCCGAGGCCGAGTGTGAGGCAGGACCCTCAATGCTGGAGCCGCCGGAGCCTCCGGCGTTGGCCGCGGCTCCTCGAGGGATTCCCATCCCGCTGCTTAGTCCTGACTCAGCGCTGAGGATTTGGTGTCCTTACTCGAAAGGAGACCAGGAAGGGAGAGTTGTTAGTGTCAGCACCTCCTCCTGTTCTTTGTCCACACCACTCTGGCTTCTTGAAATACGTATTTACCGTGAGAGGCAGGGGAGGGAGGGAGACTGGGGGGACGGAGTCCCACTGCTGTGACTCCGAGGGGTCAGGCACCCTGCCGTACAAGGGTGTAAGAGTGAGGAAAGCCGCCCAGCTCCTTCTCATCCCCCTGATAAGTGGTGCCTTGCTGAGCCCCCGTGGCCCTTCCCAGCACTGAGCGTGGGTCAACCGTGTCCAACCCCTCCTTGGAGGGGAGACGATGGGTGTCTGTCACCCGTGTGCCGAGCCCGATTGCAGTGAGGGGCACAGAGCTCAGCTCGCCAGAGCAGGAGAGGATGATTAAATAACTGGGGATCGCCCAGCCTGTCTCAGATGAGCTCTGGGCTGCCAGGATCCCCCAGCCATTGGCCGGTACAACTGGGAGCAAAGGGCTGGGGGAGGCAGGTGATGCCCTGCGTCACCCGGGTGCCCCCCAGCGCGGTGCCACTGGGGCGAGTCGCTCTTCCAGGATGTCCCCCGAGCACCCACGAGGGGGTTTTGACCTGGAGGTGGCTCGGTGTGTGGTTGGGTGTTGGTGTGTTGCAACCCAGCACAGGCAGGACGGAGAATCCTTTTGGGAGCTTCCCGGACACTTTGGGCACCGGTGACTCTTTCGGGCAGTTTATCGGCAGTGCTGGCCCAGGTCTCCCGCTGCCATAGTCCACAGTCTCCCCCAACACGGGTCCTCTCTTCCCCAATTAGTTGGAATTTCTGCACAGCAAAGTTTCTCCTCGTGTGGGCTCACAGATAATGTGACAGCAGGGGATCTTTCTGGTAAATATTGACCTTTATAGAAGCATCCAAACACCCCGGCGTGTGAGGCCGGTTTGGCTTCCAGAAAATGGGCTTTGCTCCTGCCACCTCACACCCTGACCACAGCGGGTGATCACAGACCAACCTCAGAGCGATCGTAAAATTAATTAGTTGAAAAGGTGAAATAACTTAAGAGGATTAAAAACCCCCTTTTGGTTTTCGCTGAAGTTTCCAATGTCTGGAGAGAGAAGAGGAACAATCAGCAGCATGAGCTTCTTCCTGGTAATTACTGCTTTCTGTATAAGCTGGGGCTTAGGACAAGTACATGGTAACATCTGAGAAGTCATGGCAGTGTGGCAAAGTTCCTGCTGACTGGAAAAGGGGAAACTAATCCCCATTTTTAAAAAAGGAAACAAAGAGGACCCAGGGAACCACAGGCCAGCCAATCTCACCTCTGTGCCTGGCAAGGTGATGGAGCGGATCCTCCTGGAAACTCTTCTGGGGCACATGGAAAATAACGAGGTGATGGGTGATGGCCAGCGTGGCTTCACTGAGGGCAAATCCTGCCCGACAAATTTGGTGGCCTTCTCCGACAGGGTTACAGCGTTGGTGGATAAGGGAAGAGCAACTGACATCATCTACCTGGGCTTGTGCAAAGCTTTTGACACCGTCCCGTGTGACATCCTTGTCCCTAAGTTGGGGAGCTGCTCGAGCAGGGCTGGAGGAGGCCACGGAGATGCTCGGGGGGCTGGAGCAGCTCCCCTGGGAGGCCGGGCTGAGAGAGTTGGGGGGGTTCAGCCTGGAGAAGAGAAGGCTCCGGGGAGCCCTTCGAGCGGCCTCCCAGGGCTTAAAGGGGGGACAGGAAAGGTGGGGGGGGACTCTGGGTCAGGGGGTGGGGGTAGGATGAGGGGTCACAGTTTTAAACTGAAAAGGGGCAGATTTAGATTAGATGTAAGGAATAAATTCCATACTGTGAGGACAGTAAGGCACTGGAGCACCTTGCCCAGAGCAGCTGTGGGTGCCCCCTCCCTGGAAGGGTTCAGGGCCAGGTTGGACGGGGCTGGGAGCCCCCTGGGCTGGGGGAAGGGGGCCCTGCCCGGGGCAGGGGGGGGGACTGGGGGCCTTTGAGGTCCCTTCCAACCCAAACCACCCTGTGATTCTATGATTTAAACGTGGATGTAGCTCTCTCCGGGGGATGACTCAGATATTTAATGCACAGAAGATCATTTTCCCAAGTGCTGTGAGCAACCCAAGCCCACACTGTTCTCTGGGTCGGGCTTCCTTATCACCCTTTGGTATTAAATACTTAAAACCGGGAGGAAAAAACCCAAACCAAACCAAAACAAAAACACAAAACCACTAGTTTATTTAAACTGCTGAGGCAGGGCCGCGTGTTTCGGCTGTGCCACGGGCTGCAGCCGGGCGCGGCGATGACTCAGGGTGGCAGCAGCTCCTCAAACCCACGAAACCGCCGGCGGCAGGACCCGGCTCGCGAGAGCGGCTCAGACACGTTACGCTTTAATGCAACGAGAACGCCACGTGGGCTGGCCCAGCGCCGGGAGGTTTGAAAAGGGGGGGGAGAGCAATGATTAACGTTAGTTTAAGGAGTCAGGGGGAATTTTTCTAGTGAGGTCATCCCTGGCTGGTTCACGCCTCGACGTTGCAGGTGAGGTGAGCCGGGATCGCTAGAGGAAACGGAGGGGGGATTTTTCGAGGTGGGCAGAGGGGCTGTGCGGTGCAGGCTTGTAATCCTGCTTGTCATAACAGACTCCAGCCACGCTTGGCCCTCGGGTTACAACCCAGTCACGAGACAGGTGAACGTGCTCTTCTGCCTTCAGCCTTCCCCGTGTTCCTGTTTCGCCAGGGAGAAGCCTTTGCCCCCTGCCCCGGGTGCTGCTCAGCGGCTGACGGTGGGCTGAGCCCCCCCAAACACAGTGGGAGAGGACTCAGGAGTGCCGACACACCCCAAACGTGTTTGAATTCACCCGTCGTTATTCCAAAGAGGTGCCGAACTCATGTTCTTTTGAAGCGTGGATCTTTTTTTCTGTCTCCTGATCGTAGGGTTTTTTTCCTTCTGACTGTAATCCCCTGTGTTGCCTGCCCAGGCTTTCCATGTCGAGGCTTGTCCCTCGCTGCTGCACATGCTGTTTCTGCAGTGACCTGAGGATGGGACCGAGCTCCTCCGGGGCCAGTGGTGCAGGTGGAGAGTGCCGGCCGCGGCGAGGACGCGGCGGTGAGACCGAGGAAGTCAAGCGTGTCTAAGAGCAGGAGCAGAGAAACAACTGGAGCACACAGCGCAAAGGAACCTGTGCTCAGCTCAGGGGTACCTGAACTGGAGTGCCAGAGAATGTGACCTGAGGGAGGACCCCCGAAAACGGGGGGTTGTGATGCTCAGGACAAAGCCATTGCCACAGCCCCCGGTGATGCTGCCAGGCCAGACCCAAACCTGCTGCGGTGCAGCACCACCTTTTGCTCACCCCGCGATTATTTCCCA